GGCGGCGGCGCCGCTCTCGGTCGCGCTGCGAGCGGGACCGCCGGCTCTGCCTGTAGCCGGCGCTGCGGCCCGGCCCGTCCATGGCGCAGTCCGTGGGCGCCCCCGGCCGCTCTCCGCTCTGCGTCCTCGCCTTGAAGATCCGCTCTCGGCTCTTGTCGTCCGAAACGCGTCTGTCCCGTCTGTGTGTCGCTCTCCGTCTCTCACGGCGCCTGCCGGCTCATCCCGTCCGCGCTGCCGAAACTAGAGCAGGCGCCCCTGGCGTGTGGGTCCGAGCCGAAGCCGAGGAGCCGAGGACTCGTCGCTACTGCGCCGGGAGCCGGCCCTGCCCGCAGCCCAGCCCGAATCCGCTGACACCGAGCCCCGAGCCGGCCGGGCTCAGCATGGCCCACGCCCGGGCACCAGGCTCTGCCTCCGCCGCTTCGCGGGGCGCGGGGGTCTCTCCTCTCGCCCTGGCGGTCTCCCTCCGGCCTTTCAGGAGGCGCAGCCGGCGGGCTCGGCGCTGGTTTTCCCCTGTTCTGCCGAGCGACACCTGCCGCTCATCGCTCTGCGCCCCGTCCGAGGCTCAGCCTGTCTCACCCCCGCAGGGTTCGTGTCTCTTAACCCCGAAGACGACGACAACAACAACAACAACAACAACCACCCCGCGGTCTGTCTGTCCGCTTCGGCGAGGACTTCCGCCTTCCGGCTCGCGGGGGGACAGCAGGCTCGTGCCCTGGGCTCGCGACAAGGGTGAGCGAGGACACCCGCTTGACAGCCCGCGCCCGGGCTCGAGCTCGCCCTCCTCTAACGGCCGTGCGTCCTGCAGGCGAGTCGCTCCGCGGGCGAGTCTCCCTCCGCGAAGAGGGAAATCCGAACTGGGGGGTCTGTGAGGGCCTGTGGAGGAGAGAAAACAGGGGAGCAGGCCCCTCTCTCTCTCTTCTCCCTCGACACCAGCAGCTCAGCCGCTCCGGCGTCGCAGACAGACGGCGCACCGAGCAGGAGCGAGCGCGGCTCCTCTTCAAGGCGAGGCGAAGGAAATGGCGCCTCCCTTCCCGAAAACAACGGCCGCGGCGGTCACTTCCCTCTCCCAATCCCGCACTCGGCTCTCCGCATCCATTAACATCCACGGGGCCCGGGGACGGAAGAAGCCTCGGCTTCGCGTTGCAGCCGCTTCCCCAGGCGGAGGGCTCTCAGGTCGGACTCCTCCTCCTTCCGCGGCCCCGCTGAAGCACAACAGAGACCGGGGGAAAGGAAGGGGGGGGGGGTAGTTGAAGCGCTGAAAAACCTCCCCGCTCTTGACTCTTGAACAAAGGAGCTTTCCGGGTACCTCTCCGAGACGAGGGCCCGGGAACAAGCCGCCCAGACGGGTCTCTGCTCCGAGCGGACAGGAAGAAAAGCGTAGAAATCGCGCCGCAAGCCCCGCAGCACCGTGAGCGCACAATGCGAGCGGCCGGGACACAGATGGTGGCGAGGGGGAGGGGAGAGCGGGGAGGAGGGGGAGGAGGAGGAGGGAGGGGGCGAGTATGGACGCTGCCCCGGAGAGGAGGGGGGGGGACGTTATGCCAGATAGCTGCTGTTGGGGTGTTTCCTCCCGAACCCGTCACGATTCGGAGCCGGGGGCTGCCGGTGCTCCCCGACACGGCGGGGCGAGAGCAGCAGAGCCCGGGACCGAGCCGCTCCGTCTCCCCTGCCCGCCCCGAAGCGCTGCGCCCTTTATACTGGCGACGGTCAGCGCGTGCCTCCGCTCTGCTCCGCTCCCCCCCTCGAACAATGTGGAGCCTCGCGGGGCGGCTCGAGCTCCCTCTGCCTCTGCGTGCGGATCAGCCCGCGCGCGACGCCCCCCCCCCCCGAGACCGGCGGCGGTGTCAAGGTCTTCGGGGTCTTCCTCACGCGCCGGCCAGCCGTCAGCTTCCCCGGGACGGCAGTCGTCTCTCCTCCTCCCCCCCTCCCCGAGTCAGAGCCGGTCACTCTCCGGGCTGCTGCTGTCAGACGCCGCGGAGCCAGTCAGCCGTCATCTCGGCGAGAGCCCGTCTCCGTCTCTCCCACACAGCCCCACACGGGCGGCGAGGGCTATTTAAAGAGTGTCCCTTCTCCTCCCAAAAGACGCGGAGACCAAATTCACCAGGGTGGTGATCGACGCATCCGGTATTCCCTCTCTCAGAATCTGTCTTCTCCACCACCACGTCGGAGATTTCCTCCTTTTTCTCCCCTTTCTGCTCTCACTATTCACTACAGCCCCTGAACCGCCTCACTTCCTCCCCTTGAAGCGAAGATCCTTGTTGCGCTGCTGGTCCTTGTCCTGTTCCGGTGCAGCGGAGAGCCGAGGCGGTGGCGCCACCTGCTGGAGCGGAGGGGAGCAGCAGTCCCGTCCTGCCCGGCTCTAGAGCTTCTTATTTACCTTCCTTGCCTGTGGGGCACTTGTGAGACCTCACGCCCGAAGAAGGCTCCACAGCCGAAACGTTGTGTCTTCTTTCTTCTCTTTTCAGCATGGAATAATAATAATAATAATAATAATAATAATAAACTATTTTATATAGCACCTTTAAAGGTGGCTTCTCAAAGCGCTTTACAGAATGACAACAA